CGTCGAGTCACGGATGTTTCTAAGCTTGAGGATCTTGATAGACACCTTTTTATCGATGAGCTCGTTAGACATGTTGAGAATGATAATCTTCGCTTGTCGCAGAATCTTGGAAAAGGATCGATGTGTAAGTCATGCTTCTTGATTCTTGTTTATTTGTTCTTTATAGATTTGAAATGTAAATGCTGTTCAATCAAATGTATTCTTTGTAGGGTTGGGATCGAGTTACCAACGGTTGAAGTTAGGTTTCGTGATCTTTTCGTCCAAGGAGAGTGTGAGGTGGTTTATGGAAAGCCAATTCCAACTCTTTGGAATGCTATTGCAAGCAGATTGAGAAGATTTATGAATTTTCTTGTAGAATGACTTTGTTGCTTGGTCCTCCTGGTTGTGGTAAAACCACTCTACTACTCGCGCTATCTGGAAGACTCGACCCTTCTTTAAAGGTTTGGCCAAAGAATGAGTTTGTTAAAACGTGTATAGTTTGTTCAGAAATCATATGGATTTTGCTTTCACTTTTACAGACTAGAGGAGAAGTTAGTTACAACGGTCACTTGTTCTCGGAGTTTGTTCCCGAGAAAACATCGAGCTACGTAAGTCAAAACGATCTGCATATTCCAGAGCTAAGTGTAAGAGAGACACTCGATTTTTCCGGATGTTTTCAAGGCACAGGAAGCCGTTTAGGTAAGGACAATAATAAATTCTCATGTTTCCGGAGCTGAGATCTTGTTTCGTTGAACTTATTTGACCTTTTAAACCAACAGAAATGATGAAAGAGATTAGTAGAAGGGAGAAACTAGAAGGGATAGTTCCAGATCCTGATATAGATGCATTCATGAAGGTACAATACTATTATCTGTAACATGGAAATGTCAAAGAAATCCATTTGAAACATGATTTTTTGACAGGCGACTTTGATTAAAGATTCGAAAACTAATCTGCAAACCGACTATATCCTAAAGGTAATGATGCTTTCAAAGTTGTTGTTGTTTTTTCTTCTCATCTTTAACTTTTATCCTTACCAGAAGTTAGTTAACGCATTTGTGTTTTCAGATCCTAGGACTCAATATCTGTGCTGATACACGCGTTGGAGATGCCTCGAGACCAGGAATATCTGGTGGCCAAAAGAGAAGATTAACTACAGGTACTTGTAACTTTTCACACACTGGTTTATGATCTTCCTAACAGATCTTCATAATCTTCTGCAGGTGAGACGATTGTAGGTCCAATAAAAACTCTGTTGATGGATGAAGTATCAAATGGTTTGGATAGCTCAACAACGTTCCAGATTCTGTCATGTCTCCAACAGTTTGCAAGTCTATCAGAAGGAACCATAATGGTTTCACTGCTTCAGCCTGCACCAGAAACGTTTGAGCTTTTCGACGATGTGATTCTTATAGGAGAAGGAAAGATAATCTATCACGGTCCACGGGTTTATATATGTAATTTCTTTGAGGATTGTGGATTTAAATGTCCAAATAGGAAATCTGTTGCTAGTGATTGTACTCTTGGTCTATCTGCTAGATTTGAAACCTTGATGATGATCACACTCTTGTGTTTCAGGTTACCTCAAGGAAAGACCAAGAACAATATTGGTCTCACAGGGACAAACCATATAGTTATGTCTCCATTGACTCATTTATAGAGAAATTTGAAAAGTCTAATCTTGGGTTACAACTACAAGATGAACTCTCCATGACTTGTGAAAGATCTCAGTCTCAAAAAGATGCACTGTGCTTTAGAAAATACTCACTTAGTAACTGGGAGATGCTAATAGCTTGCTCAAGAAGAGAATTTCTTATGATGAAACGAAACTCTTTCGTTTACGTATTCAAGTCTGGACTCGTAAGTTTGTGTTTTCTTGCCTAAAGCTACTAGATTTTTGTACTAAACCTTTAACATTTTTCTGCAGTTAATTTTCATTGGATCCATTGCAATGAGTGTTTATCTACGGACCGGGTCTACAAGAGATGCACTTCATGCTAATGGGTTCTTTATTCTTTTCTCTGTTTAAACTTCTTGCTGATGGACTTCCAGAACTCACATTGACAATCTCAAGGATTGCGGTGTTCTGCAAGCAAAAAGAGTTATACTTTTATCCTGCTTGGGCTTATGCAATTCCTTCAGCTATTTTAAAGATACCGATATCATTTCTCGAAGCATTTCTCTGGACTTTACTAACATATTATGTTATTGGTTACAGTCCAGAGATAGACAGGTACTAAATTTGGAACATGCTTTCATTGGTGAATGCAAACAACCAAATTTCAAGAAATCTCTCTACTTTTCTTTTCAGGTTCATTCGCCAGTTCCTGATATTCTTTGCTTTGCACTTGTCATGTATATCCATGTTCCGTGCTATAGCTTCCATCTTTCGTGATTTTGTTGTTGCCACAACAATTGGAACCATCTCTATAATGTTTCTCTCATTATTCGGAGGTTTCATTGTTCGAAAACGTAAGTTAGTTACTTGAACTAAAAATCTATGAATCGGAGGGTTTCATTGTAAAATGGTTTCTCTGTTATTATTCAGCCTCCATGCCTGCTTGGCTTGAGTGGGGATTCTGGTTTTCTCCATTGTCATATGCTGAGATTGGTCTAACCGCAAATGAATTTTTCGCTCCACGGTGGAGGAAGGTAATGAACTCTTTAATGACTTTCTACAAGCTAAACTTTTTTAGTTCATTATTGATCCTTATCATCTTTTTATTACCATTAGACAACATCTGAAAACAGAACTTTGGGGGAACAAGTTCTAGATGTTCGCGGATTGAACTTTGGTAGTCAATCTTACTGGACTGCATTTGGCGCTTTAATTGGAATTGCACTCTTCTTCAATATTGTTTTTGCACTGGCCTTGACATTTCTAAAGAGTAAGTTCACAAGATGTATTTATAAAGATGTGACTTAATGAAGTTAGTATATACAATGAGGATTGATTTTTGTTCTGCAATTTCAGCTTCACAGAGGTCTCGTGCGATTGTTTCTCGTGAGAAGAACAAAAAAAATTCAGAAGAACAATCAAGTTCTAAACTTTCTTCCCAACTCAAAAAGGCATTGCCTTTCAAGCCCTTAACTTTCACATTTCAAGACGTTCAGTATTTCATCGAGACCCCTCAGGTGGAAAGAGTATATAAGATCAGTTACAAGTTTTCTTGAACCCTTTTAAACAGCACACAGAGTTAAGATGTGTACTGTCTCTCATTTTCTGTTAGGGGAAGAAGCTACAGCTTCTCTCTGACGTTACAGGCGCATTCAAGCCCGGTGTTCTCACCGCTCTAATGGGTATGAGTGGAGCTGGGAAAACGACTCTGCTTGATGTTCTTTCTGGAAGGAAAACCCGCGGTGACATTCAAGGACAGATCCAAGTAGGCGGTTACCTTAAGGTTCAAGAAACATTTGCACGGGTTTCAGGTTATTGCGAACAGTTTGATATTCATTCTCCCAATTTAACCGTCAAAGAGTCCTTGGAATACTCTGCTTGGCTTCGACTGCCTTCTAACATCGATTCAGAAACGAAACACGTAAGTCGTTATTTGGAAAAAGAAGTTCTTCCTTCCTTTAGCTTCATTGTATGAGTACTTTCTTGAGTTTTCTTTCAGGCGATAGTCGAGGAAGTTCTTGAGACGATAGAGCTCGAGGAGATTAAAGATTCCATAGTAGGAATTCCTGGAGTTAGCGGTTTAACAACAGAACAACGTAAAAGACTAACAATAGCTGTGGAGCTTGTTTCCAATCCTTCAATCATATTTATGGATGAACCAACCACAGGGTTAGATGCAAGAGCTGCTGCAGTTGTAATGAGAGCTGTGAAGAACATCGCCGAAACTGGCAGAACCGTTGTTTGCACGATTCACCAGCCGGGCATAGATATCTTTGAAGCATTTGATGAGGTAATTAAAACTCGTGAAAATCACATTCATCCCATTTTAAGTCTCGATCTTGTTTAAAGTTCATTATGTGACACTTCAATTGCAGCTGATTCTGATGAAAAATGGAGGAAAGATTATCTATTACGGACCTCTTGGACAACATTCAAGCAAAGTTATTGAATACTTTATGGTCAGTTTCTATATAATACTGATAGTATTTCATAAACAAGTATGTTTATTTTCTTTATTTACAACCAATTTTTTAGAGCATTCCTGGAGTTCCTAAAATGAAAGAGAACACAAATCCAGCAACTTGGCTACTAGACATTACTTCTAGATCATCAGAAGACAAACTTGGTGTTGATTTTGCACAAATGTACAAGGAATCTACTTTGTTTAAGTAAGTCTATAAACAAGTATTACTTTAATACTTGTGCCTGAAACTGTTATTGTAAAAATCCCTCACTTGCTTTTCGTCTTTTTGTTTTAGGGAGAACAAAATAGTAATTGAGCAAATGAGGTCTACATCTTTGGGATCAGAAGGATTAATCTCCTCTTCGCGATATGCTCAAACGGGTTGGGAACAATTCAAAGCATGTCTCTGGAAACAACATTTCTCTTATTGGAGAAACCCTTCCTACAATCTCACTCGCATCATCTTCATGTGTCTTACTTCTATGCTCTGTGGCCTTCTCTTCTGGCAAAAAGCTAAGGAAATGTTCGTTTCTTCCCCATCTTTCTTTGAGTTGTTTTCTTTCAAAAATGGCTTTTTAGAAACGATTTCAAACTTTGTTTTTACCTCTCTTCTTTGCAGAAACAATCAGCAAGATCTTTTCAACATATTTGGCTCAATGTTCACGTTGGTCCTTTTCTCCGGAATAAACAATTGCTCAACAGTGTTATTCTGCATTGCAACCGAACGAAATGTCTTCTACCGCGAAAGATTTGCCCGTATGTACACCTCATGGGCGTATTCCCTTGCTCAGGTTAGAAAATTTTCTCAATCAAAACCATTAAAGGAACCAAAAAAAAAACTCGGCACTTGCATTGAATTAAAAGCCTTGATTCTTTTGCAGGTGTTGGTTGAAATTCCATACTCATTTTTTCAATCCATTGTATATGTGATAATTGTATACCCTATGGTTGGCTATCACTGGTCAGTCTACAAAGTGTTTTGGAGTTTCTACTCAATCTTCTGCTCATTGCTCATCTTCAACTATTTCGGTATGCTTTTAGTCGTGGTGACCCCAAACATTCACGTTGCTTTTACTCTCCGTTCGTCTTTTTACTCCATCGTCAATCTATTTGCCGGCTATGTCATGCCAAAACCTGTAAGTCTCTCTTACCTTCTTAGTTTCGAAAGTTTCAAAACTCATCAAGATATGACATTTTTGGGAGTTTGTCGATATGCAGAACATTCCGAGATTGTGGATTTGGATGTATTACTTGAGTCCGACGTCATGGGTTTTGAATGGATTGCTCACATCACAGTATGGAGATATGGAGAAAGAGATATTAGCATTTGGAGAGAAGAAGAAAGTTTCAGAGTTCTTGGAAGATTACTTTGGTTATAGATATGATTCTTTGATTGTTGTAGCTCTTGTTCTCATTGCTTTCCCTATTCTCTTGGCATCTCTTTTCGCTTTCTTCATTGGTAAACTCAATTTCCAAAAGAAGTGATTTTGGACATTTTCTCTATTTGGTTATGAAGACAAATCGTATTTTGGTATTTAGAAGTGAGAAAAGAAAACGAAAGCTTCCAAAATTTATGAACAAAACTGTTACAATTGTGCC